AGAAATTTGGCCATTGTTCTTTAATACATTTAGTTTTATTTCCGTTTAAATGTAGATTATTAACGTTAAACCAATGCACTAATTTTGATATAGCATTATTTACTTCGTCACATTTAAATGATTGACATTTAGGTTTAAAAATCAAGGAAGTATCATCCGCAAATAATACTATATCATGATTATCCTCTACAAGAGAAGGTAAGTCATTAATATACACTAGAAATAGGAATGGGCCGAGAATCGAGCCCTGAGGGACACCCATTAGTACAGGTGAGCCGGAAGAACTTTTACCATTGATAATAACTTTCTGCATTCTATTACTTAAATATGAAATAATAAGTTTAAGCGCTGTGTTTTTGACACCATAGTACTGTAGCTTCCTGATTAATGTCTCATGGTGAACGCAGTCGAAGGCCTTGGAAAGGTCACAAAATATACCCAAAGCATCCTCTGAATTCTCCCATGCAAAAAAATTTGTTTAATAAGCTCAACTCCAGCGTCAGTTGTCGAGCGACCCCTTGTAAAACCGAATTGATTTCTATGTAGCAATTTATTAATATTAAAGAAACTTAACATCTGATCTAAAATTATTTTTTCAAAAATTTTACTAAATGTTGGTAGTACATAAATTGGTCTAAAATTGGCGGGGTCTAATGTACTACCAGATTTAAATAAAGGTATGACTTTACTATGTTTCATTAAATCAGGAAACCACACCAGATTCGTTGCTTGTATTAGATATAGTGGCTAGATAAGGTGCTATTATATCTATTACAGATAAAATAACTTTAACGGTAATCCCCCATAAATCTGCCGTTTTCTTAACATCAATAGTTTTAAAATATTTCACGATATCTTTTTATTATAACAAGCCTTTACATTTTGTTTGAGCAATGATTCGGCGATAGTAGGAGAAGAGTTTAATGATTTAGTTGTCAAACAAGGAATATCAGTAAAATGTTTCTCAAAAGCCAAAGCAACTTCTTGATCAGATCGAGTTAAATTATTGTTAATATTCAATTGAAAATCCGAGTTACGCGGTTTGACCCTGCCCGTTTCACTATTTATTATTCTCCAGGTCATTTTAATTTTGTTAGAAGCAGTTTTAATTTTGTTACTTAAATGTAAAGGCTTAGCTGTGGCGCACACTTTTTTAAATATTTTAGAATATGTTTTTACATAATCTCTAAATACAACACTACTATTATATGATCTTTCATTATAAAGCTCGTATAACTTTCGCCTACTCTTATAAATTCCGGCTGTCGCCCATTCATTAAATCATTTGCGACTGTTAAAAGAGAAAGTTTTAGAAGTAAATATCCTACTAAATTCACAAGTTATAATTTTAAATAACGTACCATACAAATAATATGCACTCTTTTTAAATGAAAGTGATGGAAGTATTTTTATTATATTACTTCTAAACCTCTCCAAGCGATGTTCATTTATTGGAACAAACACAACTTTCTTATTTTTCTGTTTCTTGTGTATGTAAGGCAATGATACCAACTGTCCACAGTGATCTGAACTTAAATTTTGAATAATTGATTTATGCGAGGGCTTAACATCTGTAAAAATATTATCTATACAGGTCGCACTAGGCCCAGCAATACGTGTTGGTTCTAAAAATAAATTAACAAGATTATACGATTGAAACAATGAGCTAAACTTAATACTAATGGAAGAAGTTTCAAGGAGATTGATGTCAAAGTCTCCACATATTACAACAGACTTGTTCTGTTTACTAAGTTTGAGCAAAACTTCTTCCACAATCCTTTCAAAATAGTCATAAGTAGCACATGGGGGTCTGTAAACACTTACAACAATGAGGTGCTCGAGCTCGACACAGGCCATTTCTACAGTTCGCTCAACAGAGAGGCTCACTATATCCTTACGTTCTTTATATAATAATGATTTATCTGCTAGTATTAAGGAGCCACCACGTAAACTTTTTTCTCTATTGAAGGAACTGACCACCTGGTGATTTCTGAGATTAAACATGAAATTATAATCTTTTAGCCAATGTTCAGTAATTTAAAGGATATGTATGTTGTTACTATTTAAAAACAATTCAACTTCTAATTCTTTGCCCAATCATGCTTTGTATATTTTGATGCACCAGGTGTAAACAATTTTTATTACTTATTTGTGAGCTGCATTCAAAGTTAATTAAACTCTTATTGTTGCTAGAGATTGCCTTTATTGTCGCATTTACTAATTTAAATTAGTTGGAACTGATTCCAAATTAATTGTCAAATAATTATCCTGCTCAATAAAAGCAGTCTTGGTAGCCAAAAACTTAGCTGAGTATAAGATATATAGTTGGCGCGTCCCTTTCATACATTTATTTACTTCCAACTTCCTGTTTAGGTTGGACAGTTACTATACTCTTTGGTTACTATAGTATAGCTATACTCTTTGCTTTGCTTCCAACCACTTCCAACAAAGTACTCTGTGGCTGCCAGTGTCCTTGGTATAAAAAGATACTCTGTGGGCTAGTGGTCAGTGGCCAGTGTGACCATATGTGGCAGGTTCCTGCCATTTTGGCAGGATTGGCCTCTTATTTTAGCCTCTAGCATGATCGGTTGACGTTTTATAAAACCTGGCAGTATTTGGCAGTATTGGGGTATTAAAAATAGATTTCATTATGGCAAATTAAAATAACGAAAATGGCAACCCTAGATACTTCGCCAGCATGTTGGGGATTTCCCTGTATTTCTCGATTTCTCGTATTATGTTTGTATCATATTCAATAAACAACTTTTAAAAAAATTGTGTAGAATTAACACGAGTTGGTTAATATTTCAATCAGTCATAAAAGAGACGTACTTTAGTTTAGTATCGCATCAGATTTCATGGTGATTACATCTTGTTAATAATATTTTGTTGACGATAGTAATTATAGGTGGGATGATGAAGCGAAAATAAGAAAAGGCGTATAGAGCGAATTGGGAGCAAGATCTTTTAATTTCATCATGGATCTCCCAAGCTAAAGATGATCTAGACTGTGTAACTGCAAATTGGCACCCCGGCTGTCCGCTTTAAAAAAGCATGCCGCTACTAGTAAACATCAAAAAAATATGAGTGGATTCAACATGCGAAAGAATATACTCTCAAATAAATTTAATTAAGACAAAAACACGAAACAGATTTATAAACAAACATTTACTGTCTATCTTGTACGTTAAACAAGGCATTGGTGAGCATGGCGATTGCATTGCATTCAAACCAACGAAATGTATGTTTAATTTTAATTTAATAAAATGTAGCGTTTATATTTATATTTTTACTTTTCTTAGTTTAATACAATGGTAAATAAAGTTGGCAGTATTTAGGCATTCTTCACTACAGACTTTGGCAAGATTTGGCAGGTTTTTAACCAAAGTGAGGCAGGATCTGTATTTTAAAGATGGTCACCCTGTCAGTGGCGTCCAGTGGCGTCACTTTAGGACAGCGACAGTCATAGATAAATATATATGTAGCAAGCGCGACAGTTACTATACTCTTTGCGTCACTTCGAGTGTTTGTCTGACTTGAAAGAAGATCGTGTTCATAAAAAAAACAGTAGGTTGTTAATTATACTTTTTCCATTTTTATTTCAGATAATATGAATATTGTTATCATATTAGATAATGAAAGTTATTTTCTAGATTTTTCTAACTTGTTTGCCTAATAAAAACATTTGGACAACAAAATTTACTAAAACCGGTTGCTTTGTGGTTTGTGTTAATTATAAAATCATTAATTACGACGTTCAGTTTAGGACAAATAGCGTTTTGTAGTTTATTAGGAAGTACCCAAGTGGCGTATCTTTGCTCGGCGTAATAATTAGGAAAGAAATTCTCAAGGAACGAAATAATTTGGAAGGTGAAATAGAAGAGAAAATCAGAAACCCAATGAAAATGTGCATAACACTCTCTTCTATCTGTTATCGTTTAGATACAAAGTCGATTTCGAACATTTTTACATTGATATGATAGACTATATCTATAGCGCGAAATTAAAAGATCTTTAATTTTTATCTCAAACTTTGATATATCCATGTGCGATCACAAGGTTATCAATATAAAGAAGAAAAAAAAAACGTAGTTTTCAATAATTAAACTATTGAACTACTACTAGGTTTTTTTGTAAAAGTTCTAGGCGGACGAAGTTGCGGGCTAAACTAATATAAAATACAAGAACAGTAGAAAATATAAAATCCAAACCCATTTACAAAAAAAAGTCAAACCCACAAAAACATTTTTAATAATCATCGTTAAAATTAATTGATAAAATTGTGACTATAAAATATTAACAAAGGGAGTTAATACCAGGGACAACAAATGTGGAATATAGGTATATATGAATATGATGAAAAATTAATATTGTAGAAGAACATGTAAAATTAGGGCATTTAAAGAACATACGGTTGGCGGATCCTTCTCAACTGACTTCAAAAAAGGACATTCTCAATTGGACTATTTTTTCTGTTAACCTAAGAACCTTTTACTGGGTGGACTGATTTTGATGATTCTTTTTTATTTGAAAGCTGGTGCTTCGCATGTGGTTCCACTTAAATTTTATCAAGATATGACCAGTAGTTTTCGAGTTATTCTTTATAATGCATATTTAATTGACTTCGACTACATTGATGATGTTCTCATTTTATTTATATTGAAGTCGGTTGTATAAAATTTTTTAATTTTACCATTTGTTCTTGTCCACATTCTTATATTGAGCTATCCCTAAATCTATGTTTAGCCAAATGTACTGGAGCAAAAGAGAGCTACAAACAGTTGAGATAACAGCGTTACGGCAATATTGAAAAATTTATTTTAAATTTATTGCTCCAAAAATATCCCTGGGAAAAATGTTAAAATCATGAATATAGTTAATAAGGTAAAAAATAGAGGAAAATATTCTAAACACTAGCTTGCATAAGCTGCGTTTAATTGCTTTTATGTTAAAAGAACTCAGTCTTCTTACATTAAAAGAAAAGTTTTTTGTGTAGGAAAATGCCGGCGACCAAGTTTTACTACTTCAATCTTAAAGCTCTTGGTGAATCATGCCGTTTGCTACTAGCTTATGCAGGTGAAGAGTTTGAAGACAAACGTATCAGTATGGAAGAATGGGCAGAATTGAAGCCAAGTGAGTATTAAAATATGAAAATTTTTATGTGCTTCCAATAAATAGGCCATTATGACAATTTTATGTTATTTAATGAATTATTGACTGTGTAGTGGTGCTGTAAGAATATCCACACCAGAGAGGGAAAACAAACAAGTTGATGGGCAGCAGCATATTCCTAATAACAACTAAATAAATTGCAGTTGCCCACTCGCCTGCCAGGGGTAATATCTCCCTTCTGAGGAAATCTGGGAGGCCTATGTTCAGCAGTGGACTTTCTATAGGCTGTAACATCTTTAGCCACTTACAGTCTCCTCTTATATAAAGGCTTTTCAAATAAAAAAGGCTTTTGCTTTTGTATGTGGTAGAGCCATGCTGCAGCTATATTTCTGGTATAGTTGTAACATTAATGGGTCGACTCGACCGGGGAAGGACCATGTTAAAAAAAATTGGTACTATAGTACAAGAACATATCTGCATGCACAAAACTAAGATATTCTTTTTTTAATGCTATTAGTAGCTTGACCTATATATATATATATATTTATGAATGTTGGTAGCACTTACAAGTTAGATGTCTAAATAATCTGATATTTAGCAGGGCAGCATTTACCTGGTGTGTAAATCTGGTTAAAGTCTGAATAAAAGTTCTCTACCAGTGCAACGTGGGCACCAATGATATGGTTTAGAGTTACTCAGCTAGCAATTAAAAGAGAACCTATTTTACCTGTAACGAGGTAGTCCCTATTGGTTCTCAGGGACATCACAATCAATCACAACACATCTATATATGTATATATGTATCTCATTATAATTAGAGTTTTTGTCTACAGAAACCCCGTTTGGTCAAATGCCCATACTCGAAATCGACGGCAAGCAGTACGCGCAAAGTAACGCCATCTGTCGCTACCTCGGTCACAAGTACGGACTCGCTGGCTCCAACATCGAAGAGGACCTAATCATAGACCAGAATGTCGACTTCCTCCACGATATCAGAGCTAGTAAGTGCATTTTTTGTGTGAGTATCTATGCAGGTCTAGCAAGACCAGTAGCACTGTAAGCAATATAACTTTTGTGATCAGTCCTAGGGCTATACTTCATTGCTAAGGCATATTTCTATACTTTAATATAATAAAGAGAAAATATTTCTTTGTTTGTAATGGATAAACTCTAAAATTACTAAACTGATTTAAAAAGTAAGGGATCCCTAAGAAAACTCCTATATTGTAACCCAAGGTGTAAAAAAAATTACCTATAATAAAAAATAAAAAAAATACCTATCATTACTTTTACAGGCAATTTTTTTAAACTCAAACCTTTGGACTTGTTCAGGGATAAAGAAACTTTTTCTTGGTAAAAGAGAATCTGCATTCGTCTACGCGAACGAAGTCGCTTGCGACTTTTTCAATTGACACATGAATTGTGACAATTGGTACAGCTAGTCTTTAATAATGTGAAAGAGTTCCTTAACTGTGAGCATTTTCATTACTTCTGGACTAAGTACATAGTGTCTCATAACTCATTTAAAGAGTTTATCGATTCTCGTGAAGTAGACTTCTATAGCAAGGGAATAAAAAAATTGCCACACGATACGTACGTGTTAATAGCTTAGACATAAATCTTCTGATTTTTTGAAATTTCTTTTTGAATAATTTTTTTTTCAATTTTCCCATGTGTAACTGTAGTTTCATCGGTTCCTGATATTTTTATCTAGTCATATTATTTACTGAAAATTATCTATCGACGACAACAGTTAAACTAAAATGATATAAGAACACAAAAAAGAAACAGTTATGGAATTCATTCATTTGTAACCCTGACCCTGACATAAATGAATGTAAAAAAAGTTAAAATCTTTTAACCCATTTTAAAATAGGATAATAATATATTTCTTCGTAATTTTTTTGAAATGGCCAGTTGTTTCGCAATAAACCATGTCAAGATTATCTATTGATATCTGGACACCTGATATTAATCTAATAGTTTTATTTGGTTTTTTGTTTCCATTTAATTTTATTTCTTATCATTCAAGCGCTTTCTAGAATAAATATGCGTTGTTCTATCGGCCTTGTAATCATGCTGATATGGTTAGATAAAATGGAATGTAAGAATTGTTAACTTAAATGGGCGTAAACGTGCGCGCGGTCGTGTACAACATCAAGTTCTTATTAGTATTCACCAAATGAGAATTAGATCTGGTAGTTTTTGGTATGAAAGAAACAGAAACTTTTTTATTCATTAAAGATTATAAATAATACTGACTAGAAGTTATTCTTGTTTAATTTACCACTGGTTCGGAAAAAAATGTCCAAGAATCAGTATTATGAAAGAAATAGAAACTTTTTTATTTAATACAAATTTTTAATATTAAGTTACTCTTATGTTTAATTTACCACTGGTTCGGAAAAATAACTCTGTCCTGGGAAGAACCAGCAAGGACTAAAAAAAAAATAGCAGCTTACAATCATGCATGTTATACAATTAGCAACATAAAACAAATTAGAAATAGCTTGGTAGCGATCACCTCATTGCCAGGGGTATTATCATCCATAAAGTCCTTAATATTATAATAACCCTTTTTGTACAAACTTAGTGGTTTTAATAAAGTTTTAGAACTTTGAGCAGGTTAAATTTTCTATATTTTATGGGATTTTGTTGTAAAAGCGTATACATCGAAAAAGAAAAAACTGCTAAAGCGAGACAATATTAATCATGTATTCATAACTAGGTGGTAGGACTTTCCTACCTAGGAGTCTGTCTGGGTAGGAACCACCCTGGTACCACCCATTTGTGTCCCCAAATAACAGTGCTTACACCACTGTGTTCCGGTCTAAATTGTATAGGCCAGTATAGTTACAGATTATAGAGAGAGATTATAGAGGACCTTTAAGTGGAATACTTTTAATGATGGTACTTACGAATAATTTAAAATTAAAAATTTTGTACAATGGACTTCAATATAAATTATTAAGAATAACTCAAAAACTATTATTTCATTAATCAAATTTTGATCAAATTTTTACGAGACTACATGTGAAGCACCAGCTTTCAAACTACAATCATCGAAATCGGTTCACCCAGAAAGAAGTTATGAGGTAACATACATTAAAAAATGTGATCAAATTTATATGAAGCGTAAGTAGCTTAATGGCAGGGTGCGGACCGCGAACTCGAAAGGTCGTGGGTTCGAATCCGCCGTGCGACTACTGTCGTGAACCACTTTTAACACAAGCATTTTAAGCTTACCAGAAGTGGTTAAAGGGAATATTCATCATCATTACAGCCCTTCACAAGTCCACTGCTGAACATAGGCCTCCCCCAAAGAATGCCACAAAGCACGGTCCTGAGCCACCTGCATCCATCGACTTCCTGCATGTCTTACCAGGTCGTCACTCCATCTCGTGGGGGGACGCCCTACACTTCGCCTACCGGTACGAGGCTGCCACTCGAGAACCTTTCTTCCCCATCGATTGTCGGTTCTTCGAGCTATATGGCCGGCCCACTGCCACTTCAGCTTACTAATCCGTTGGGCTATGTCGGTTATTCTGGTTCTACTGCGGATATCCTCATTCCTAAGTTTATCACGCAGAGAAACTCCGAGCATAGCCCTCTCCATAGCTCGCTGAGCGACCTTGAGCTTCCTCATACGGCCAGCAGTGAAGGACCACGTCTCAGTTCCGTAAGTCATCACTGGCAACACGCACTGGTAGTACAATTTCGTTTTAAGGTTTTGAGGTATGTCTGACGAGAAGATGTGTCGTAGCTTCCCGAACGCTGCTCAGCCGAGTTGAATCCGTCGATTGACCTCTCGGTCGAAGTTGGGCATACCTAGTCGGACTATTTGTCCCAGGTAAACATACTCGTCAACAACTTCGAGCTTAGTGCTCCCAACAACTACCGGCATAGGTGTGACATGGACATTAAACATGATCTTTGTTTTGTCCATGTACATCTTAAGACCTATCCGTTGGGAAACACTATTGAGGTCATTGAGCATAGTGCTTAGGCCCTCCAGCGATTCTGCCATAAGGACTATATCGTCGGCAAATCGAAGGTGAGTGATGTACTCGCCATTGATGTCGATACCGTATCCTTTCCAGTCCAGAAGCTTGAAAACGTCTTCCAATGCAGCGGTGAAGAGTTTCGGGGATATGACGTCACCCTGTCTTACACCTCTCTGCAATTGGATAGGTTTCGTACTCTGGTTCTGTACTCGGATAGCCATCGTAGCCCTACTGTACAAGCACTTCAATACTTCGATATACCGACAGTCAACTTGCACCGCTGAAGGGACTGCAGCACCGCCCAAATTTCGACGGAATCAAAGGCTTTCTCATAGTCCACATACGCCAGACATAGTGGCAAATTGTACTCTTCGGACTTCTGTACAACTTGCCGAAGGGTATGTATGTGGTCTATGGTGCTAAAGCCCTTTCGGAAACCGGCTTGTTCGGGAGGCTGGAAGTCGTCAAGTCTGCGCGCGAGACGATTCGTAATGACTCTCGAAAACAGCACGTAGACCCGGCTCAGAAGGGAAATCGGTCTGTAGTTCTTCAAGAGAGCGTTGTCACCTTTCTTGAAGAACAAGACCACCGCACTTCTGCTCCACGCCTCCGGTGTAATGCCACCATGGAGGACGGAATTAAAGAGCTTCTTAAGGACTTCAAGTACCGGTCTTCCACCCGCTTTCAGAAGCTCCGCTGTAATTCCATCCTCGCCTGGGGCCTTACCGTTTTTAAGGTGCTGGAGAGCCATTCTAATCTCGCTCAGACTGACGTCCGGGATATCTTCGGAATAGTGTCGGATGAGACTCGCTCTTGGATCGTTACTCACACTTGCATATGGCTCCAACGATGACGTGTACAGCTGCCCATAGAACCTCTCAATCTCACTCAAAATCTCAGGTGTCCCGGAAACGATGCTGCCACATTCTGTCTTCAGCTTTGACAGTTGGCTCTTTCTGGCAGACAGATCTCTGGCAAAGACTTTGGAGCCTTGGTTCCGCTCGATCGCTTCTTCAATACGAGCTGTATTGAAGTTGCGTAAGTCCCGCCGCATGCATTTGGAGACCTGTCTGTTCAGATGCCTGTATGCTGTCAAGTCTGTTGAAGAATGTAGCTTCATCTCCCGTCTAACAGCCATGAGATTAAGAGTGTGATCGGAGAGTTTTTGTGTTCTTCTGCGGCGGGTCTTGCAGAACTTAGCTCCGACCGCATGGACAGTTTCCACGAGCTTGTCATTCATATCGTCCACTTCATTGCAGTCTTCTAGGCACTGAAAACGGTTTTGTAACTCGAGCTGAAAGGTTTCGGGACTTTGGAACAGAGCACGAGGGGGACGGAGCGTTGACTTCATTAGACGAGACCTCTCCAACTTAACGTTTAGGTTCATTGTGCCTCTAACCATTCGGTGATCGCTACCAGTTTTCACCCTCGCGATCACGGAGACATCACTGAACAGTTGTCGTCTGGTCGTCATAATGAAGTCAATCTCATTTTTTGTCGAACCGTCGGGGCTCGACCAGGTCCACTTCCTGTGGGGCCGCTTCTGGAAGAAAGAGTTCATCATAAAGAGTCCCTCTTTCTCCATGAAGTCGGCCAGCTGCTGGCCCCTTGGGTTCCGTTGCCCTATTCCAAATTTCCCTACTTTCAGCTCACCGTTCTCTCTTGTGCCTAGTTTTGCATTGAAGTCTCCCATTAACACCGTATATTGGGTTTTGGAGGAATGCATGGCTCTAGAGATATCCTTCATACATATCCTCCACCTCCTCATCGGGGTGTGCCGAGGTTGGTGCGTAAACCTGTATGACCGTCAGCGAATACCGTTTGGTGATTCTGAGTATAAGGTACGCAACCCTCGTCGACACACTCCCGATCTTTTTACAACGTTGTTAACGAGAGACTTGTGGAAGATAAATCCGACACCTCCTTGGGACAGATTGTCGCCCTCCCGGTGATAGAGCAAGTTGCCGGATTCGAGGATTATCGTGTCCTCCCCCTCTCTTCGGACTTCGGATAATCCTATAATATGCCAGCGCAACTTGTCTATCTCTTCTTCCAGCTCCACGATCTTCTCGTCAGTCCTCAGGGTGCGTGCATTGTACGTTGCCAGGTCGAGTCGTCTAAGGTCGCAACCGAACCTTCACCGGAGATTCTTAGCACCCCCTGCCCCGCCGTTACCATGGTCGCCACCGTAGCCAGGAATAGCGGGGCCGCCGGGGACTGGGGGCCGTTTCTTTGTTACTGTCATTCATAGTATGCCATAGTTGCCACGCTTGGCGAGCGGGTTGGCAACCGCAGTTTTTTTATTGTAATTTTGGCTATTATCAGGAAGATGCTGCTGCCCATCTCCTGCCTGTTTCCCTTTGTCGCCTTTTACGTCACCCACGGGAGGATATGGGGTAATGGATATTCTTGACCGCCACTACAAGGGAATATTAGTAATGTTTAAATAGCATTATTAGTATTTAAACATACGGTCGAATTAAGTACCTCCACCTGTTTGAGGTCGGTAGAAAAAAAACACCGCTTCAACTACTTAAACTTATAAACTGCGAATAATATCTTCAACTTCTAGTAATTTAACTAATACAACCATTTTTTTTTTCGAATTAAATGTGAAAAATTATTTTTGTAGACTTGTGTAATTTCAGCAGAAAGTCATAATTTTTTTGTGGTAATTATGATGAAAAAACGTAGTAGCTATGTACGACATAATATTTATAACAAAAAGTGGCTGTGCACAGTGTTCAGGTGGATTAACTTGTCGTTTTACTTCCAGAGGCTGCCGTGGTCCACTACGAGTCGGATGAGGCAGTCAAAGCGAAGAAACATGAAGACTTCACTAAGAACCTATACCCCGTCATGTTAAAAAAACTGAATGAAATAATTGAGCAGAACAACGGCCATCTTGCTCTTGGAAAAGTAATTATTTCATCAGACAATTGAATTTTGTTTTTGTAATTTATAGCTGCCTAATTAGCAACCTTGACTGGGGACTGCATTATTTTGCACCTGCTGCATATTGGATTTTTACGTAACTGCTTCACTTTGGTATGTTTGCAAAGTGGCCCCGAGTTTTTTGCAAAGTGGCCCCTGGTAAGGTGTCGAAAAGTCGTAAAACAGAACTAATCAATTAGTGTATTTATGTCAAGATCGAAACTTTTTGAGCTGTGTAATATTGATGGTTAACCAAAAATATGAATAAATTCAATGCACCGTTGTTACCAACTCTTAGCGCTCATGACATTTTTATGTTTTATTTTAAATGTTTACATACTATTATAAGCCAGTGCTACTACAACTATTCCATTTCATGATGATGTAGGCGAACATGGTAAAGAGGAGCTTAACTTAACAAAAGGCATGCAGAAGCTTAAAAGGCATGCATGCATAATATATTGTCTCATATGTGATTTTGTAATAGTTGCCATGGTTTGGCAACCTTATAATTTTATTTGTTACCGGGAAGATGCTGCTGCCCATCTCCTGTTTACCTCTGTTGCCTCTTCCGACACATATAATAGAAAAAATAGTAAAAAAGAAAGTGTGCAGTTACCCCCTTTTACCTTAGCTCCGGCTCGAAGGATCAACCATTTTAAAAACTACCCCCAAACTAGGATTTTTTTCTCTACAGGTTAAAAACATAAATTGCACGTGGTTGTAGCACGAATGGGTTGGCTCGATCGGGGTGGGACCACGCTTTTACAGAATACCAGCGTAAAATAGCAGCTTAATTCTGCTGTTTTTCGTTTGGTGAGTGTAGAGAACCGGAGACCCTTACTTACCCCTACTTACTTACTGGAAACGAGGCAATCCATCTTAGTCCTCAGGGGTAACAATGAATCTGCATTTTGATTCTTTATTGAGGATCTACATCTAGATGTCTATGGGTCACAGCAACCACTTGCCATTAGGTGAACTGTGTGCTCGTTTGTCACCCTATCCTATAAAAAAAGCACAAGTACAATTATTAAATATTTATTTTTTATTATTATGATGTTTTCTGGTAGTCTAACTATAACCACAGCTACTACTTCCGACTACTTTCTGAACGTAACTGCGCACGAAATGTTTTAGTGATTTTAGTGTACACACAAATTTAGGTAATATCTATTAACTTACCCGTGTCTGTGTCGGTTCAATATAGGGTATTAATATATTGACTGCCTTTTTGGTCTGGTCTAGTGGTTATAAGTTACTGCTGATCCCAGATTGGGGTTTTCTGCCAAGAAATTCTCATTAGCTAGCACCCCGGAGTCAGGAAATTGGTGGTGTTTCACCACTGTGGCTCGGAAATCACGTAAAATCTGATGGTCTTGCGCCCGATTTCATTACGGACAGGACACTATTATTATTATTATAGGACTCATTATTATTATTATAGGAGACACATTATTATTATTGTTAAAAATATTATTGTTTAAGATATGGGGTCAGTTACAACATAACCGAATCCATTACATAATGCCTGTGATGTTACTGATAAACCTGCTGAACCAAAAAAATCACTGTTACAGCTTACATGGGCCGATTTTGTGTTCGCCGGTGTGTACGACTACGTAAAAACGATGCTTCAAATGCCCGATCTTGACGAAAAGTACCCGAGCTTCAAGAAACTAAAGGAGTCCGTCGTCACCTTGCCCAAAGTAAAGGAGTTCTGCGCCAACGAGCCCAAAACTATGTACGATTTCTAAGTAATAATATGTGAGATTATATTTTTATATGACAGTTTTATATCTTTTATGCCCTAAAGTATTTTGAACTATATATCAAAGAGATAAAGCGCACTTTGCATTGTATTTTTAAGAACTGTTGAATTTAATTTCGTTCAGTGGTGAAAATAGCAAATTTCTTTAATGTGCCTTAAATTAAAGTATAATACTAATTAAAGTATTAAATAATTGTATTACAGCACAAAATCCCAGATTATATTGTTTTCAATAAATAAATAAGTGAAATACTAATAAATGTATGTTTATAACTATTACTGGTTTTTTTATTTTATTTATCGGAACGAAGTTCCTTATCGCACTGTACGAATTTGACGGATGGGGGCTAGGCGAGAAAAAGTAAGATTGTTCCGTCACGTCAAGTGCGAGCAAGATGGGATAATATCTATCTCCCTCGCACATTTTCTTATCTTGCCATGAAAGAAATATTTTTTTTTAAATGACGCATCATTTTAGTAGACGCTAGTAAATAATTTATTTGTATTTGTTAATCAATAATATAACACGTTTATTAATAATACAATACGTTTATCAATAATAATATACTACGAAAGGGACTTCGTTCTATCCGAGTATTCCACGACACTCACGCATGTTTTTTTAATTTATTTTTTAATTGTACATCTTAACTAAAAGGAAAAAGCGGACTTAATGCCTTTTGGCATTCTCTCCCAGTCAACCTGGGACGTGTGAAGAAAAATAATGTGATAGGTGGCAAAAATAAATGAGGAAAAATAAGAATAATATAATATATATTTTTATTAATGTCACACCTGCAAAATCGTCTTGTACAAAAATAAATTCATTACGAATAAAATTTGACCTTGTGCAAAAATTATCCAACCCACTAACCAAATGATAATGACCCGGACGCTCCTTTTTCAGTTTATGTCTAAGTATGAGAGACTTCTAAAAATAATAAGTAATCCCTAAATCTACATACAATTTTCTTTAAAATGATATACATAACATGATCTAAAAGGGCTTCTGACACTGTAAAACAAATTTGAAAAACTTTATGTTTTTGTGGTTGGTCAAATTAATACCATTTATCATTACAGTTTCATCAGCTTTTTTTCTTTATTGATTACAATAATAATTTGTAAACAAAATAATTTACCATATGCGACTAATCACGAAGTTTTTGTGAACTATTGAAGACAGCTTAACTCGGCAGTCAGTTGATTACGACGGTGTTTCAAGTTGCCAGAATGAAGACTAACTTGAGCTTCAATTCCACATTGCATCAATTGTTTTATCGATCGCACTAATAGTTCACATTCGCAGACATTTAGTATGAAAAATTACAAAAATTATACATTCAATTCAAACCATTATAAAAACTAATTGACAAAGGCAACTGGAGTAAATCCGTTTGCTGTTGAGTCCCCGTTAAAACTACATCCTAATAAACATAGATTACCCCATAGATTGCTACAAGCATGGTTTGAGCCATATGCATCAAAATATGATTATATGTTTCTAATAATATGTAAAATAATTAAAATTGTTGAAATGATTCTGCCAATTTATCTAAAAAGGTTTTTCCGAATTAGGGCTGCCATCTATCTGGATTTCCTCGGATTCAAAGTCAAAGTATGAGAGCAGGTTACGTGGTGAATATGCTGAAAAGAACCAACTTTTTATTCGTAGTCAGCTTGAATAGAATAGAATAATTTTTATTCAATTTACCACTGGTTCAGGAAAAAGTTGTTGTGTGAAGAATCAGCTAGAAACCCAGCGGGATTTTATTTTTAAAAGCACAATTTACAATATCATATTTTATACAATTGTTACGAAAACATTTAGAAACAGCATGGTAACGATCACCTCATTCCCAGAGGTTATTATCAATCATATACTCTTTAGTAGTATAATAACCTTACTAGACAATTTTTGTTTAATAAATATTTTAAACCTTTTAGTTAAGATGTACAATTAAGGTTAAAAAAGGTTGCATATTTCTGGGACTTTCTTGGAGCGTCTACATTGCCCCATAAAGGAATTCCTGATTCTTCTTCTAGTAGGTATTTACAGAATGTACATCACTATTTTTAATTAAACTATTTTTGTTTTTATAAATTTTCGTAAATATATTGAGTGGCCGAAGTTAATATATTTATTTCTTTAAATTTTTCTCTAAGGGATTCTTCTAAGGGACTCTTCGAAACTAGGTTATAAATTGCTCTCTTGGCTTTTCTTTGCAAAACGAAAGATAGTTCCAATGTGAGTCGCATAGATTTGAGCAAGATTCCATATGACATTATGCTATGGAAGTAACTAAAATAAAGTAATCTAGCTGTTAATAGAATCAGGCGTTACTTTGCGGAAATCCATTATATTAAAGTAGGTAAAAAAAATCTCATGTACATCCGCTCGATAAAATAAAATTATGTGTCTTACCTAGTTTGAAGAGCACCTCCCGATCTCCCTCAATTGCACGCACTATGCCCGTCACCACTAATCCCAGCAGTGTTGGGAGTAGTTGTTCTAGCTGTTTCAAGACATGTGTGGCCTCTAATCTTTTTTACAGCATATGCTGCAGAACTAAGTTTGCTACCTAATTTAGATATATGAGTGCCCCATTGATGCTTCGCGTCAACTGTAACTCCGAGAAAAACAGTGGACTTAACATCTTAACAAGACCCAGCTCCTTCCCATTTAAAAGCACACTAGTATTCACTTGTTTCAAATTAGGTGTGGTGAATTTAATACATTTCGTTTTATTACTTTGATATAGGATTATTAACTTCGTCATATTTCAATAATTGCCTTTTAAGTCGGAAAATCAACGACGTGTCATCAGCAAATAATACTATGTCATGGTTATTCCTTACCAAGTAAGGGAAGTCATTCATATAAATTAAGAACAGAAAAGCTCCAAGAATTGAGCCCTGAGGAACACCCATAGATACTACCGATCCGGAAGAATTGCTCCCATTAATAACAAATGTTTGCGTTCTATTATTTAGATCTGACGTAAAAAGTTTAAGCGCTATGTTTTTTTTACACCATAATGATGTAGCTTCCCAATTAATGTCTCATGGTTAACACAGTCGAAAGCCTTAGAAAGATCATAAAATATACCCAAAGCATCTTCTGAATTCTCCCACGCACAGAAAATATATTTGATTAGCTCAACACCTGCATCAGTTGTCGAGCGACCCCTTGTAAATCCAAACTGATTTTTATGGATCAATTTATTAACATTAAAAAAACTAAACATTTGATCTAGAATAATTTTTTCAGAAACTTTACTAAGCGTTGGCAGTACAGAAATAGGTCTAAAATTAGTGGGGTCCAAATGTATTGCCAGATTTAAATTAAGGTATAACTTTACTATGTTTCATTAAATCAGGAAACATCAGATTCGATACTAGCATTGAAAATAATAGCAAATTTTTGCTTTTTTTTTTCAAATTGGAGTGCGTTCGCATCTATTATAGACGCAATAACTTTAACGAAAATCCCCCACAGATCTGCTGTTTCCTTACTATCATCAATAGTTATGAAATATTTTACAATATCACCTGATAATATTTTATGAAATGCAGATCAGATCTCAGAAAATCTATTTTACAGACATTTACATTTTGTTTGAGTAATGCCTCGGCGACATCAGGGGAGGAATTGAATGACTTTGTAGTCAAGATCGGAATGTCGGTAAAATACTGTTCAAAAGCCGTTGCAACATCTTCATTTGATTTCGTTAAATTATTGTTTGAAAGTTTGAGTTGTGAAGTTTCATCTTGCCAGTTTCACTATTGATTATACTTCAAGTCATATTAATTTTATTAGAGGCATTCTTAATTTTGTTTCTTAAATGCAAATAAAAAATAATAATAAAAGTTTATTTCTTTAACAAGGTTTGTCTTAAATCTAGAACATAGGTTGACTCATTCTTTTAAGTGTATTTGCACCTGTGTCAGAAGGAGGCACTCTTCCATATCACATTAGTGGTACTTATGAGTATCAGTGAAGAATTAGGTAACAAATACAACTTATCTATATACATATAATAAAACTGTAAATAGCAGATGTCTGTACATTTTATATTTTTGTAATAAAAGTGATTGAGGGGTACTAAAAATAAGTAATTAAATACATTTCTACCATTTTTAGAATTTTCTGTCTGTCTGTCTGTCTGTCTGTCTGTCTGTTTGTTTGTTAACGTATCACGTATAAAGTACTAATTTATATCATAAGAATTGTTAAGGAAATTATAAAGTGTATCTTCGGGTTACATTTAGTCTTTATTTCATTAAAATCAGTTCATTCCATCAAAAGTTATGATAAATATTCTGAAGTATGGGTAGGGAAGTATAGGTACGAATTTGCTCAACGGTGGCTTTGTTTGAGTCATCAAGTGCATTTTAAACTAATATCATATCATAAATCATAGTTAAATTATGTAAAATAATGATATAATTATGTATATCTAAAACGCAGTAAACAAAAGTATTAAAGAACGTATTAAATATATTATACAAAAATATATCTTATTAACTAAATCTGAAGCACAATAGTTAACCCATTTCTTCGATAGATGGTGGTGTGGCATAAATGTGATACAAAAAGGCAGGTTAAAATTTATTCCTGTAGTTGAGTTTCATATTTGCTTCTAACCTTTATATTAATGACACGCTGCCCTACTGCGTGTTGACAATCTCATTTATTTTTTATTTTTTTACCGCCGAGTACTCTATGTGGTAAATCAAATTTTAAGAGCTATTAACAATTTCATTTTTCGGCGAGGATCAAACTTTCTTTTTTGCTTACTATGCAGGCACTGATTTATAAGTTCTTTTATGTTTTTTATTGTATCAATCGTGTGAATTAATCTCTTATTTTTAGAATTGATGTTAACAGCGCCATCTCTCTTAAATCTATACATATAATAAAAATGGTAATAACATGTTATGTCTGTTTCTGAATATTGTATAGTATATTAATTTGCGACTAAA